AGTGCAACTGATAGGCCCAATATTATTATTCAATTCTGATACTATATCATGTTACTTTGGGCCTATTTTAATTCACTTTTGGAAATTAATGACTAATTTGGGCTTAACTTACTCTTTTATTAGGAAGGGATGAAATTAGATGGAATCTTAACACTTGGGGCCAAATTTCAAGAAGTGGATAGTGAAAGGATAAAAATCTTCAAATCAGCACCTTAGCTATCTAATTGGAAGAAGTGTCGTATACTCTCCCTAAGAATACAATTGGAAATTTCAACCTCAAGCCTTGAACATGCGTATTCCTTTTGTGAGCAGCGGAATTTCAGCACGGGTCAATATTAATTGTGTAGCCGTTGGGGATTAACTTCCCAATTTGGAAGACCTAAGAATCTGCCCAATCCGACCTTTAAAAACGCAGCAGCCGTTGGAGAGGAACGAAGGTGAAAACAGGGAAGAAAGAGAGAGGAATTTAGCCGCTTCTTCATCGGTCATCTCCGTTTTTTCATACTCTTTTAATTAATTAGTTTAATTTCAGAATTTCTAGTTCTTGTATTTCAATTTCGAAACTTTTACTTTCATGTTTTTGCTATTGAAGAGTGATTTCTTCCCTACTTTAAGTATGATTTTTGGCTAGACTTTAACCCGAAGGGTTTGGGATTAAAGCTTGGTATTAAGTGATTATCTCTTGTGCTTGGTTCTTCCATTGTAATCGACATATTATTTTTTCCCAATTAAATTTATTTTATGAATTTCGTTAATGAATTTTGCATCAATTTCGTGCTTAATTCTTGTTAGGTATCGTGTGATGTACCGACGGGTGAGGCATGATACTTGGGCCCGTAAAATAAACATGATTCACCTATACTAGACATAGTTAGGGAATTGTGGTGAATTTCAATTGTCGCTTTTTGACTAGTTAAGTTTAGTGTTCAATTGACAGATTAACACTAGCTTAACCGGTACACGCTAATATCTCGACGGATTATTAGCATATTTTAGAACCAATTGTCACTTTAATTGCTTGAACCAACACTTAGATTTTCTATTAATATCAAGTGTATAACCCGAATCCCGAGGGCCGTTTTATCTATTGTTTAATTGATCATTTCTTATTTCTGTTTCTACTTCTCGCTCTTGTTTTATCAAATCAAACCAAAATCAGTTTCTTTTTACTTGGTTGATAGTCTGTTAAACCAATAAAGTTCAAATTGCGCTCCTTTTGGCATCGCTCCTAGAATACTCTTGGTTTTTACTATGACCGATCTCCACACTTGCAGAAAATAGTGGTCAACAACTCCCATCATTTGATTCACTATATGAGTCATTCAGACTATACTCATCCAGTCCATCACAAATCTCATTAAATTGGGTACCTATAATCCCATATAACAATTGTATTTTATTAGAAACAAATCTAAACAACGCAATATAAATCTTAGCATTGCCACATTACAATATACCTTGGTAATAGTGGAATGCACCCTCAGTTATTTCTGCATTTGCAATATGGTTCAATGGAGGGAGTTCACCGTTTATATCACCCAAGGCATCATTATCGAGCCCTTCAATAGTGGAGCTGTCTTGAAATGGTACCCTAGTGACTGTAAAGGACAAAAGAAAACAATTTAAAAATAAAAATGTGATCACATCTTTGAACTCAGAATAGAAGACTATAGTTTTAGTGTAAGGTTTCTTGATTGGATACCTAGGTTCCTATATTGTCCCAAAATAATTTTAGTGTAAAGCTTAAAATGTTAGTATGTTACAAAACAATTGCATAAACTATTATTTGGGCTTAATAAAGAAGCTAAGCTTCTATTAGGGCAGAATGTGCAGGGGCTCATAAATCTATCTCTGCTCAATCCAAAGAGGCCCGGAGGGAGGTGAAACACACACGAGTTCAACAGTTTAAGCCTCAATTGCATTATTGGTGCAAAAATGTACCATTGAATGCATTGCTCATTTACACGGGAATAGTATTTTATCAAAAAACTTGGAAATTTTGACACAAATTGGCTACTGATTGGTCTTGTAACAATGGTCTTAAGACTAGAATAATATTCTTTTTCCTTAAATTCTTTAACTACCACAATATGTTTTTTATAGCTAAATTATAGCTAGCCTAATGTAAATAGTATAGTAAGTGACAAATGTAATCATGCATATTTACGGATGTATGAGAAGACGAAGGTCACAAAATATCAGAGAAATAATTTACATATTACCCTCCCAAACTCTTTTCTTCGATGTATAGATTTTTTGCATTAAACATGTATTTATTCCTACACAGAAGAGTATAATTACATCACAAATAGAACGTTAATAATAGATAATACACATTTTGATCTCCAGCAAAAATTTCACTTAGAGTGGTTAGAATGAGTTGTATTTCTTCATACATGTTATAACTATAAGCCTACCAGTCATTGAAGACCAGATACCGTGAGGATTCTTATAGGATTCTTATAGGATTCTTATAGGATTCTTATAGCACTGCTCAGCCTAACATACAGAACAACCAAAGAGATGAGCACAAGTCCACCACCTAGCATTCTGTTAGGCCACATCTCGTTTCTAGGATGGACAACCAGGGAACATGCTAGTCCAGGTGCTTTTGTGTATTATTACTTTGTTTTCTTTCCCAGAGTTTGTGCATTTTCATCATAGTGAATTACTACTTGTTAAATTGTTGGCAAGGAAGAAGAAAAACATATACAATACGAGGCAATTTAGTTAATCTTACTTGCATCCGGTAAAGGGGTCATCTTTATCTTCACCGGCAATTTCTTAGGCGTCCTCTTCGTTGTTTCTATTGGGATTGTCGTAGGTACTTCTGAGTCCAACACAAACTCTTCGCATTCTCCTGAAGTGAAGAAATCGACCACTCGATCACCATCTTGATTAAGATAGTTCATATTTGCATATTATCTTCCTAACAAAGCTCCGAGTTCATATTGTTGGAAAAAGTGTTAATAAAATGCATTAAATGGTCATTTTGGGGCAAATTTTTGAGTGGGGTCCACTTCCGATCTGGGTCAGGTAAAAGTGGTTTTGAATTGTCCTTGCTGAGGGCTACAATTCAATATATGGTACACTCGAAGTTCACTCGTTGAAATGGGGAAAAACTAGAAAAATGTGGCTTTTTAGTGTGGTTTTTTCCCACACCGGAAAACCCAAGGGACTTTGAACCCTTTATAAAGGGATACCCTCTCTAAAGAGTTAAGATTCCTGGAGGGAAAGACTCTCTCTCGCGCACAAGGGAAACCCCCACAAAAAGCGCGACTTGCGTGCGCGGGCGACCTGCGGACACAAATGCCATCCAAAAATCTATCTTATAAAGATAACGTTAATTTTTGTTCTTCCGTTACGTTCCAATTTTTTGCTCCATTAACTTCCCAACGTTCATATGCCTTAATGCACACAAAATGGACTGTTTTTTGCTGGAATCAATGCTCAACGTTCAGGACATTGATGTCCAACGTTCATGTGCCTTAAACAACCATTAACACATCAAAATCCTTCCCTATAAAAGGCCGGCAAGTGGTTTACAACAACATACAGTTTTCATACACTCCATGCACGTTCCTGCACCTCGAAAAATACCTCTAGCATTCTGAAAATATTCCTATGTGTTCATACTTGTTCTCCTTCGCCGGGACAATTCGTTTGAGTGCTCAAACAATTGTTCGAAGTCATCGTATCCTGGGAAACGATCGTTGCAATGCTCCTAGCACCCCGGGAGGCAACGAATACGTTTTAAGAAAAAATGTGCCTAACACGAGCTTTGGCTATTTTCTGCTTCATCTATTTTCTGGTTCTCTTTAGTCATTTTATTTAATTAATTTTTATTAGTTAATTTTCTTTGTTTTTTGAAACCCAACACATATCTCATCTTCAATGGCCGAAACCCTATTTCAACTAAGTGAGATTGAGAAATAACGAACAATGGCCAGAATCCAGAAGAAGGTAATCGATCTATTAGGTAAGGGCATGATAGTCTATTCAATTGGGGCGGGCGGAGGGAGTTTCTCAGTTTAATAGAGTATATGACGAAGAGGGTGCAAATATTACGGTTTTATCAATCAGGGTGCAAAGTCAAATTTACTCAATAAAGTGGGGTGTAAACTCCATTCCCCCAAAATTGAATCATGTAGTTGGTAATGAGTTGATAAAGTAAGAGTGAATTAAAACAAAACAAATAGATAAAAGGATTAAATAAGCCCTCCAACTATTAGTGATTCTGCAATCAGGGTCCTTAACCGAAAGACCTTGCAAATACACCCCTCAAGTCACTGAAATAAAGCAATCAAATCCTTTTTTACTTGATGGTGTCGATAAGGAGATAACTTTTTCATGAGAAATTACCGACACCAGGAGGTGAAAGGGGATCGATTGCTTGATTTCAATTGATTGAGAGGTGTATTTGCAAAATCTTCCGGTTCAGGGGTATGGTTGCATAACCGCTAATAGTTCGAGGGCTTATCTGCTCCTTTTCTCAAACAAATACTATCAAATATGACATGAGGCATACAATTTAGAGGGCTAATAGAGAAAACTTTTAGTCACATTTTTGTTTATAATACTTGGTATTATAAAACCTTTTTCCAAAAATACTACCAACGCAAAACTTATTGGAAACTGGAAACTAATAATCCACTTTTTAGTTGTCTTCTTACAATAGTCCTACATAATCGTAATTCAGGAATAATCTGACTTTTCCACCTCATCTTTTTTCACCGATTGATGACCTGTTTTTCCGTGTCATTTTCTTTTCTCTGCAAACCATTAAATTATAAATTTCACCTTCTACAAATCTTCTCAAATAGTCCCACATACGAGTATGATTTTTCTTTTCCTTCATAAAAAATTTCACTCTTTTTTCTTTATCATCACAATGCTTCTATTTCTTTTTCTTTATTATATTCATGAAAACCCAAATTTCTCAACATCCCCTTCATAAAAGGCCACTCAACCCGGTCGTAGACCTGTTATTATTGTTATGACTCCGTATTACTCCGTATTTCATTTTCGAACATCTCCATTTATCACACAAAACAGACCACGCTACTCCTACTCCACACTAGTGCGTATCCGTCTTGCTTTATTTCTCACTACTCTCTCTCATCATCACAGCGGAGCTTCCACCCACGCCCGAATAGATCCGCCACACTTTGCCGCCACCGCCACCCATGGCCGACGACAAGCAGACCAAAAAGAAAAGCAAGAAGCAAAAACACCAACACCCCAATGATCAATCAACCAAATCCTCCTCAGATTTCACATTCAAGCCCTGCTCCGAAGTAAAGGGTCTCAGATTCGGCGGCCAGTTCATCGTCAAATCCTTCACGGTCCGCCGCGCACGGCCGCCGGAGCTCCTCCACCTCCTGGATCTCCCTCCCGCTCCGCCCAGCGCCAAGCCATCGTTCCGCTCGACCACCGCTTTCATGCCCACCAATTTCACAATCCTGGCTCACCAGGCCTGGCACACGCTCACTCTGGGTCTGGGGACGAAGAAGACCAAGGTGGTGATTTTCGTGTTCGATTCGGAGAGTATGAAATCCGCCGTGGACCGCCGATGGCCGTCGGAGATCGCGCTCGGGGATGTGAACAAGAAGCTAATCAGAGGGCTGAGCGGGTGCGAATTGGCGCGGTTCAAATTCAGGAAGGGCTGCATAACTTTCTACATTTACGCGGTGAGGGGAATCGGGAATTTGGGATTTACCAGCGCCGATGATCTGAGAACGGTTTTGCAATCGACGGTGGAGCTGAACGATTTCTTGGATCATACGGAGATGCTGGCAATGCCTAACCAGAGAAGCCTCAACCACGCCGCGCCGCCGCCGCCGATGGCCATGGCCCACTAGTCCGACGGTTTACCCCTTTCTTGGTTTTTCATTTTTTCACATTTTAGATTTTGTTTTTTAAATCTTGCACATGCCTATATTGGGTGATGTGTAAGATTTTTACATTTCTTAATTTTTTGGGAAACTCTGTTCTTGGATTTTCACATCTCAGTTTATTCAGTAGTGTTACTAATAAACTTTTGTTATTCTGAAGAATTAGTTTTTGTCACTTTGCCATTGTGAATGATTAGTTTTACCTTAGTTTTTGTCACTTGCATTTTGGTTTGTATAACAAATTTGTTGAAATTGTGATTCAACTTTGTAAATTTGCACAACTTTACTGTGTGGCCTCGAAAATTATATTGTGCTTTGTAAATTATATTGTGATCTGAGGATACTTTTCATTTATGAATTACGATTAAAGTATCGAATACGTAGTATTATACAAGTATGATATACTCACTAATAATTAGTAGGATAATGGGAAAACTATCCATTTGATCATCGTATTATCACGAAAAAGTCAATTAGATTTTCATATTTAAAAAAATCAATCTCCTTAAAAAAATTCAATCAATCTCGAACTTGTAAAATCATTCAACTGAGTACATTTACAGCTTACCTATCATGTCAGCAGGTCACCCGTTGACGTGGCACACATGTCACATGTGGCTGTTCAATCAATGATGACGTACATGTGAAAGTCCAGACAGTCATTTGTTGATGACGTGACTCACATGTCGACCGTCACGTGTGCGCCACGTCAGCGTGTGGCGTGTTGGCATGACAAGTAACCCACAAATAGACTCAATTGAATGTTTTTACAAAACACGGAAATTTGATTGATTTTTTTTAAAGTGCGAAAACCTAATTAACTTTTTCGTGATATTAGGAAGTTGATAGTTTTTTTGTAGGATAAATGAGTAATTAACACTTTGGGAAAGGCTAAAGGCAAAGTTATAAATGGGTAGCTAGTTCTTCACAATCGTCCCCAAATAAGTGTCTTTTATTGTCTTCTTAATAAATCCATAAAGTAAGATACAAGAAACTTGTTACGTTGACACTTGATCATTGACAATTTGACATGCCAATATGCGATCTATGAGTCCTTTTCATAACGTGTGAAATTGGCTTTACCGTTTGGATTATATTGGAATTGATGAAAATAAACTTAAAATATTATTTTATTAAAATATTAAAATAGTCTCTTTTAACAATTTCAGTTGAAAAGATAACTTCAGTCTTATTTTAATGGGTAGACAATTTAGCAAAATCAAAAGTCTAGTATTATACTCCCTCCGTCTCCGAAAGAAGTTCCAACTTTCCTTATTTGGATGTCTGTAATTTAAGTTCTCATTTCCTTAAATGGAAAGTTATCTACATCAAAACAGTGTCAAACAGTGCAAAACAGTGCAAAACAGTGTCAAAACAGTAAAATTTACCCCTGGTAAGTTTACTTGCATAAAAGTGTGTGAAAGTCAAATGTGGAACTTCTTTCGGGAACGGAGGGAGTAAAAGAATTACTAATAAGCCAAACACCTTGTGATCCGATGACATCACTGTAATATTTCTAAAGAGAAGGTCATAGGTTCGAAACTTATCCCGATCAAGGGTGTTGACATTTAACAATTAAGTATTGAACATATATTATAAGGTGACAGTACAAAGTCTAGCAAAAAAAGAATTATTACTCCTAATAAATTGGAAATCAGGATTATCAAAGGGCCTTATAGATTTATTTCATTTTTGTTTATTGCTTCTTATACAATATCCAAAAAGAAAAAAGGTCCAACTGTTTTAGTAAAATGGTTGAAGCTCCGTTGTCCATTTTAACTTTTTTTTATATAATGCTTTCTTTATTTTATTAATAAAATATATTTTAAATATAATTTCTTCATAAATAAGCAGAATCAATCAATTCTACCAGAACTTCATAACTTTAAACAAAACCAACCAATACAGTCAGTTTAAGTATTACCAAAGGGGCTGTAAATGTGTACATTGTTAGCATTGTTTTACATTTATGACCATGTTTTTTAGGACAATGACTAAATTTATAAATGACTCGGAATAAAAGTAAAATGTTGTCCAAGACTAGTGATGGCAACGGGGCGGATCGGGGACGGGTACACATAAAACCGAAACCGCCCCGTTGGATAAATGTTTGCCCCAAAACCGCCCCATTACTCGTTCGGGTAATTTTTATTTGAACCGTACCCGCCCCCACGGGGAATCGGTTTATCCACGGGTAACCGTTTCCCCAAATGATACCAAATAATCATTTTTTAAAAAACAAATAACCAATTTTTAATCCTACTTGTTATTTATATATTCAAAGCACCCTAAAACATACAAAAGTAAATTTTTAAGCCATCAAGCAAAGTGGCCTAAATTTATTAGTATGACATGCACCTAATATCTCTTGTAATATAATAAAAAAAGTAGTAATCATCCTAGAATCCAAATTCCAAAAACAGGTTTAGGCATATATTTAGTTTTAGGCCTAAAAAAGTATTATATTTTTAAGCATTACTTATATGATATATATTGTACTATTTAGTATACACAATTTAGCATATATACTTATTATTCTTATATATAAAAAGTAACAATTCATTAATGGATCGGGTAACGATGCGGGTACCCGCACCATTAGTGAACGTGGCGGTTTCGGGGCGGATAACGGGGCAGATTAGTATAAAACCATAACCGCACCATGAACCATTTAAAAAATTCGGGTATTCCCCGCCCCGTACCCGTTCCCCAGTCAAACCGGTTTTCCCCAGTTTGACCAAATCATTTCGGTGCGGGTATCCAACGGGTCGCCGAAATTGCCATCTCTATCCAAGACTCCAAGCCCCCTTCCAAATAAGACACATTCAATGTTCTATAAATCGGTTAGTAGGATTGATTAATCCGACATAATTGTAAAGGACTAATTAACCTAGTCGGCCATCAACCGTCTGACTAGTGTTTAACGAGATTATGAACAGCAGACACATTAAATTAATACTCTTCTTGTAATTAAATACTCCGCACATAATACCGATTAATATTGAAATACCTTTTCTTTTTTCTTCATACAGTTTCGTTTACAAAAAATGTTCATTCATATGTCGAGACCTCTCTATTATTTATGTCTCGGGCTCTTCGCCTTCTTTTTGCAATCGTTGCATTTTCCTTAAAACGCAAATCATGCTTGTAAAGTCCTGATTTCCTCTAAACCACAACAGGAAAAGAACAGTTGGAGCGAGTATTTATGGTCTACAGTAATTCAAATTTAAACACAACAAAGACGGTCAAAGATGTTTCTGTTCAATTAGTTTTTTGTCCCAATAGATCCGAAACCGTTCATATCTTATTACCCGAGTTAATGGAATAGGGTGCTCAATCATAAATCATTGACCAATTTTTATAGTGTTTCACATCATTGATCGTTTGTTTACTCCTTAGGTTACGTGTGGATAATGCAAATGCTACTATGCTTTGAACACTATAAAAATGAAATACTCTCGTAGTAATATAAACGTTCGGTATGTATTTTACATATATTTAGAGTGCTATCATTTATATAACAACTATAAATATAGAAGTGATGTCATATATACCATAAAAAGTGATAATATATTAATATATACTCCACATGACTTAGATAAATGCTAAGTATACGATCACTTGAAGTTATACATATAATTATAAATGTAATCATATTTTTATTTACAAGATTTGTTTACGGAGTAATGTATTAGGAAAACACTCATAAAAATAAACAAAACTTAAATCAAATCTATGGATTTAAAATTTATCACGATTTCTCAATTATAGGAATGTGCATTTCGACTCCTTCAATCACGATTCTCAAATCGATGAAATAAATTGTATTCTTTATAAGTTTTATAAGTTCGTATTTCGACACGCATTTGATGAGTGTTGAGATCGGATTTTGATGGATTTCCCAGCTTAAAGGTGTCATGAGTCTCATTTTTAGCTCAAGTCATATTTTACCGGGTGTTGGTTCGTGTTTGGTATTTTTGGAGTCAAAATCAGGGAATTAAGCTCGACACCGGCGTTTGAGAAGTAATCGAGAGAGTTGAGACACATTTGAGAGTTGATCAGGAGCATTGGAGGTCAATGAGGTGTTAAAGACGAAGTTTTGAAGACAAAAGAGCTATAGAATTGGCTACGAAATCAAAAGAAGATGAATAGAGCTTGAAATTAAAACGGCGATCAGGGTGACGTTCTGTCAATCATTCAAGCATATCTTTTTGTAGAAACATCCAAAGTACACGTTCAAGTTCCATATGAAAGTTAACTTCAATGGACACATATCATATGAAGACATCATGACGAGAATCTGAAGGAGCAATGTGAAAACAGACGCGGTAGTCAGATAATCGATGTTGAAGTTTCAGGACGCGACCTTCCACCATTTTATTCATGTCTTTTGATTAGATGATCCAAATCCAGTTTTGCAAGTTGTGGTGGATAGAAGATTTCATTATCTACAACTTTTGTGAAGAAAGCATTGTCAAATTCGGACGGAAAAGACACACGCCAGGCGCCCGAAGTACGCACGCCGTGCACGGAAGAGAAAAATCATGCTGGAGCTACTGCCGGTTGGGCACGCCGTGCGTGCCAAGGGAGGCACACCGTGCCCAGCATTTTTCCGCCCCCATGTGTCCTATTTCAGGCCGAATTGACCTGTTTTCTATTTAAACACCCCGTAAACTCATGTTTTTTGTTACGGAGCTTAGAGAGAGGCCTTTTTTACACCAAAAACTTAATTCATTTCATTGCTAATAATATGGAGAATACAGCTTGGAATACAAGAAAATTTATTGCAAGAAGCATAACTAGTGGATGCCCGAGCCAAAGCATGTGCACTACAATTTGCTTGTCGTCTAGTAAACACAACCCAAAATCCGTTGTTGGAATGTAGTATCAACCTGCAATCGTCCAGCAGTGATCCATACTCAGATTGAAGCTCTCGACTGGACAACACATCGTTCACGAGTTGTTGGCAATCAAACTCAAAAATGACATCTGCATAAAGATTAGTCCACATCCATCTCATAGCTTGCCTGAGACCCCAAGGTTCAGCTTCTGCCGGACTTAGCGTTGCGCTGTTCCATTCCATCCTTGCCATAAGAAAGTGTCCCCGGTGGTACCGAACGCATGCGCCATAGCCCGCCTTTCTGCCTCCTTCAAAAATAGCTTGGTCGGACAGGTCGGTGTTGCACTTCAAGTAAGGTAAAGGAGGAGCTTGCCACTAACAGAAAGTATCAAAGTTAGAAGTTGAACTTGTGGCTTCTTGTTCAGGTTTTGAGCTTATTTCCACGCACGCAGCACCCCAACCCCCCGACTTAATGTTTGTTGCGTGGATTCCCGAGCTCCCTCT